TTATTATTATTATTATTATTAATCAGAGTGGTTCAGAGAGGTTTGGTGTGAAACGCTCTCTTCTAGAGAAACTTACAGAGTCAGAACTGTTCACAGTGGTGGTGATAGGAACCAGACGTCCACCTCTAAAAGCTCCCTCACAGAAAGTTCCTACATGAAATGGTTATGAATACCCTTAAATGAAATGAAAACCCTTGAAAATGGTTCTGTATAGCACCAAAAAGGGTTCTTTTACTGTTACAACCTTGACATCGTAACAATGGAAGAACCTTTTTTGATGCTCTTAAGAACCCTTTCCAAAAAAGGTGCTATATAGAACCATCTAAAGCACATCCTCCATCAGTTTGGAGAACCATTTAAGCATGCAAAGGGTTTTAAGTGTTAGAACCAGTGTCTTTACTAAAGAACCCTTGAAGAGCCATCTTTTTTAAGAGTACAAAATAAAATAAGATCAAATAAAAAACAGTGGAAAAGAAAATAATTATAAAGTTAAATGAAAATGAGAGGAGAAGAAATTAAACTCAGCTAAAACAGTTCCAGTCTGTCTGAAGGTGGTCAGAGATTATAAGGTTAAATGACTGAGTGAGTTTTAGAGGCTCCTGTACTGAATTCACTGCTGCACTGCAGATAAACACAGATTTTCCCAGTTCAGTAAAAACTCTCAGTACCTGACAGGTGATCCAGCCACTGGACCGAGTCTGATAACTACCCTCACCGTTATTCGCAGAGATCACAGATGAGATATAAGCTGGCATTAGGCCAGATAGTGATTTATAAGCAAAAATACTAGATCTATATTTGGCCACTGGGGGGCAGTCACACAGCGTAAACGTTTGTGCGCAGTCAGCTGCGGAAAAAGTGACCCAAGTGACCTGAAAAGAAAGAAGTTGCACAATCAGTGAAACAGAAACTGTAGTTTTTAAAGGACACACCAAATAAGACACGCGCAGGCCGAGAACACTGACCCACCTCACAGGACACTCCTAAAAAGATGGTTCTTCAAAGGGTTCTTTAATAAAGAAAATGGTTCTATATAAAACCATGAACTCTTAAATAAACCTTTGTACGATTAAAGGGTTCTTTACATCATGACAGGGTTCTTCAGACTGATAGAGAATGTGCTGTAGATGGTTCTACATAGACCCTTTTTGAAAAGGGTTCTGTATAACACCATAAAGGGTTCCACTGTTGTTACAAGCCAAATGACCCTTTTTGCTAAGACCGTACACTCTTAAAAAGGATGGTTCTTTGAGGGTTGTTTAAACAAAAAAGGGTTCTATATAGCATCCAAAAGTGTTCTTCAACTTTTACGATGTCAAGCTTGTAACAATAGAACAACCCTTTTGGGTGCTATGTAGAACACCTTAAAAAGGTTCTATATAGAACCAAATACAAGACATTCTCTTTAATCAAGCAAAGGGTTCTTTAAGTGTTCATGGTTCTCTTGAAGAACCACATGTGTAGGTCAACACAGTCGTGGATCCTCTCCACAATAAAGAACCCAGACGTTTTGCATGTAAGTCTTAGAAAATAAAGTATGATAAAGATAAATTATGTTCTGAGACCATATTCACATCTCATATCTCACACTGTTGTACCGTTTAGGGTCACTTTGAAAAAGATGGTTCTTCAAGGGTTCTTTAGTAAGAAAATGGTTCTAAATAGAACCATATCTCATAAAGAATTCTTGGCACGGTGAAATGGTTCTTCAAGACTGATGGAGAATGTGCTGTATATGGTTCTATACAGCACTAAAAAGGGGTTTTCTATGGTTACAAGCTTGACATTGTAACGATAGAACCGGTTTTAATGCTATATAGAACCCTTTACAAAAGGTTCTACATACAACCTTATAGCCTGAGTAGACTGATAAATCAATGTGATCAGTTATTAATCTCAGCGTTACTGAGCTCTGCTAAAGCCTGAGTAGACTGATAAATCAATGTGATCAGTTATTAATCTCAGCGTTACTGAGCTCTGCTAAAGCCTGAGTAGACTGATAAATCAATGTGATCAGTTATTAATCTCAGCGTTACTGAGCTCTGCTAAAGCCTGAGTAGACTGATAAATCAATGTGATCAGTTATTAATCTCAGCGTTACTGAGCTCTGCTAAAGCCTGAGTAGACTGATAAATCAATGTGATGATCAGTTATTAATCTCAGTGTTACTGAGCTCTGCTAAAGCCTGAGTAGACTGATAAATCAATGTGATGATCAGTTATTAATCTCAGTGTTACTGAGCTCTGCTAAAGCCTGAGTAGACTGATAAATCAATGTGATCAGTTATTAATCTCAGTGTTACTGAGCTCTGCTAAAGCCTGAGTAGACTGATAAATCAATGTGATGATCAGTTATTAATCTCAGTAAACTGCCGTTTTCTCAGGACCTTCCTGAAGAACAACTTTAAGAAAACACTTAGGAGGTTGTTGGTGAATGAGGTCCATTCTTGGTGTTTGTCTTAAGATCCTTTGTAAAATTTTCTTAGAAAACGAATGTGGAATTTGGAATTGTGGAATTTCGTGAATCTACAAAAAATAAATATCGTTCTCTTTTTGCTGCGTCTCCTTCTGAGACTGGCCCTTCCTTTTTTCTCATTCCCTGAGGCTCCTTTTCACTGAAGTAATGACCACTATGGCTGTTTTACAACTGCTGAACATGCAAACCGAAAGCGTGAAAAAGGCTCGACTGGCCATGATGGTGACTGCAGTGCAGAGCGTGTGAGGAGAAGCAGGTTGGTTCTAGCTTGTCTGCGAGGTGCTATCTGGATCAATTGTTAAGCATTTTACAGGACTCCATCATGCAAAGAAAGATGGAGTATTCAAACAAACTCTATTGACAGTTACATAGTTAATCTAGTCAATATAATCAACTATTTTGACAAAACATATCTGAACATAATGGGAACTCCACCCATTATTCAAAAATCCTACATAATTAAGTGGTTAAGATGTAATCAGAGTGGTTCAGAGTGGTTTGGTGTGAAACGCTCTGTTCTAGATAAACTTACCGAGTCAGAACTGTTCACAGTGGTGGTGATGGGGAACCAGACGTCCACCTCTAAAAGCTCCCTCACAGAAAGTTCCTACATGAAATGGTTATGAATTCACTGCCTGATGACTGAGACACTGTTTTATGATAGTTTAGAGAACTTAAACTCCATTCATGGTGGAGGGATACATGCAGGGCGCTGTGAGGCAAAATAGTCCCCAAAGAAAACTTATTATTCCAGATTTTCCATTATTTTCCATCATCAACATTCCATATAGACTCAGAAGACTCGTGTAGGTTCACTGGTGGTTCTGGATAGTAAATAAAATGTCTATATCTGTGTTGTAGTCATGGCGACCCCTGGTTCCTATCACCACCACTGTGAAGACATCTGAACCATTTCACACCAAACCACTCTGAATCTCTCTGTATTTCCCTTTAACAGCTACCTCTTCGTCACATTTTCTCTTTGTGGACTGCAGCTTCCTCTTTCTCTTCTGTGTTTGTGAACTGGACGTTTGATTCATTGAAACAGATCATTCGAGCTGGTTCGACAGACTGAATCAAACGGCCGTGACTGACGAGTGATTCAGTTACCGAGAATTAATCGAGTATAAGAGCACAGGAGCGCATGCAGAGCAAATGACGAGACCCTGTAAGACAGGTAGCAATTCACCATTCCTTCAAACTACACAATAATAATCACTTCAATTGGCCATTGTTAAGCATTTTATAGGATCCCATCATTCAAAGAAAGATTGATTATTCAAACAAACTCTATTGGCAAATACATAGTTAAACTATTGCACTGTTTTTATCTAAAAAAGGGCTTTTATATTGGAAAACCTCACTTTTATTGCTTTTTTGAAAATATTGCAGTATGTTAGCACTGTTAAAATTTCAAAATGCACTGTATTCATTACATACAGTCCACATATGGAAACTAAACTCAGGTTTTAAATTAATTTTTGCTGTAATGTCATAAAAACCAACACTACATCCACCTGTGAGGCCTACAGCAGTTTAGCCCCGCCCATTCACGCTGAAGCTATAAGGAGTGTTTTGCCTCAGACTGGTTATTGAATGAGGCACAGCCAATCAGAACAGAGCTCATTTACATATATCAGTCTTAAAGGCACAGATTTTATCCTTACTGATTCATTGTTGTATTTGTTTATTATTTCTTTCACAAAAGCATTTTATACACCTACTTATTCAGGACTGCTGTTTATGTAGTTTAGTAATTAAATTATGTGGAAAACAATTATGAATCAATGGCATTGATTCATATGAATCAGTTGAATCAAGATGAATCAGTTAATGATCTCATTCACATATACTGGAGTAAAAATGAATGTTTTAAATTTGAACCCTCTAAGATGTCACACCGTTAGCACAGCTTGACAACAGAAGAACCCCTTTTGGGCGCTATATAGAACATTTTTTTTAAAAAAGGTTCCATATAGAACCATTTACAGCACATACTCCATCAATCTGAACCATTTCATCATGCAAAGAACCCCTTTCATCATGCAAAAGGTTCTTTGAGTGTTAATGGTTCTATATAGAACCATTTTCTTTGCTAAAGAACCCCTGACGCACCATCTTTTTAAGAGTGGAGATGTGAAGTGCGTCATTATTTTGAAGTAATTAAAACTCAATTGAAAACTCACTAACAAGCCGTCTCGCGCTGACTAGACTCACGTGATGCTGGTTGTCATGGTAACGGCTACACTAAGCGGTGTTCTGCGCATGCGCATGGTTTTTCGGATTACTTGTAGCGTGCATGTAAACTGAGCTCTTTTTTTATCAGACTGTTGAGTAAACTGTGCATATAAATACCTCAGTCCTCGTCTATAACCGGAATGTGTTCAATCAGATTGGCAAAAGATCTGTGCATGTAAACACAGCCCGTATGAATCGGTTCAATCGGTTCTGATTAAAAAAGAACCGATTCTTTCGCTGCAGCTCGACCAGCTGACAGCCTCCTGACAGGCGGGCCGCGTCTGCGCACACCGCACTGAGCGGACATGGCGGCGTCCTGACTGTTTTCTCCGCACTGAGGGAAGCTCATCGCGGAGACTCGGCTCCACAGGCTCGGGGAGAAAGAGCAGAGACGTTCACGCACTTTGGAGGGTGGGGGAAAAGGGGACGGAGACGAGCCGCAGCTGAAACGGACCGCTCAGGTAAACGCGGCGCTGTCTGCGCTCCGGCTCCGATCCACTGATGCGGAGGAGCTCGCCTGCTAATGCTAGCGGAGGGTAGCCAGCTCATTTAGCCGGCCAGTCGCGACATTTTACCCCCTGACAAACGTAAACAGAGCCGAGTGGAAAGGTGGCAAGCCTCGGGACACATTTTCCCTTTACTCAAAATGTATAAATAAGCTTTATTTCTGCTGAAATCCTCACTAGAACTTGAACAAGTCGCTTAACTGTCGTCAGCCCGCTAGCGCCAGTTAGCGTTAGCGCTCTAACTTAACCCAACTTGACCAACATCCGCTCAGTGCTTCCTCCAGCGACCTCGGCATGAGCGGTTAGCACCGTGTGTTACTCGAAACCAACATTTAAACACGTTTTCCTTTATTAAAGCTAAGATAAAGGTGAAAAGGCCTCCTCCTGACAACTTGATGCTGTTGCCTGTGGAGCGGCAGGGCTAACCTAGCGCAGCTGCTAACTAGTTCCTCCACCTGACTGAGAGGGAAGATAAACAAGGCTGACAGACAGGCGGCTGTGAAGGTGGCACGTCTGTGGTAAAAGTCTTAATTATTCGGGGGGACATTGTGCTTGTTGTCGCTTGTGACGTGCTGGAGTTAAAGTGGAGACGACAGCGCCACGAAGCTTCCTATTCGCCAGCTTCTTTTTCGAATTCTCCCGTTCCACCTTAAATGGTGCAGCGGTTACATTCAAGCGCTTCAGTTTCCCATTCGCCTGTTTCTCGTTCGAATTTTCCCGTTCCACCTTAAATGGTGTAGCGGTTATTATGACGCCCAGATTATGACCAGAATGTAACTGCTGCACCGTGTTAAGGTGGAACGGGACAATTCGAATAGGAAGCAAACCAGCCTCGTGACAGACCCCTCATATGTAGCTGTCAGTTGGGGCAGTTTCTGAAAATGCTGTTCGGTTTTGAATAAGCTGAAAATTCTGAATATGCTGTTTTTTGGGCTCCTTATTAGCGAACACCACATGCTGATGCTTTTGTTAGACGTGGTTATGTGTGTTAGTAAAGACGAGGCTGAAGTCAGTTGCCTTTCCGCCAGCTTCGTTTTCGAATTTTCCCGTTCCACCTTAAATGGTGCAGCAGTTACATTCTGGTGCTTGGGGCGCCATAATAACCGCTGCACCATTTAAGGTGGAACGGGAAAAATCGAAAATGAAGCTGGGGAATGGCAAGCTGACGTGCTTGAATGTAACCGCTGCACCATTTAAGGTGGAACGGGGGAATTCGGACAAGACGCTGGTTAATAGGAAGCCAGCTTCAGCCTCGTTTAGCAGAGTTAGTTATCTTCCTTCTCTCCGGATGATTCAAAGCTATTCTGGGTCTCCAGTTTTCATTAAGGTCATATGTTTCAAGCGTCGTCCTTCGTTAAAGATGTTGCGCAGGGCTGGTTAAAAGGCAGTTTGGGTGTTTTTTGTGTGGTTTGAACCTCTTCATGTTTGTTCAGTGAGTTCTGTGGCCCTGAGAAGCTTATTTACATGAAAAAATATCAGAATAGTTGGTTTGAGCTGCTACAGTTGGTATTGTCTGCTGTTGAGCCACTAACCCATGACTTACAGCGTGGTCATGTGACTGCCATCTTCAGGCCTGTCAGACTGAATGGTCTCTGAACAGGGCCTGTTGATATACTGCCTTCACGTCCTCCTCAGAAGTTCCTACTTAAGACTTCAGAGGTCGTAAATACAACTTGATATGTGTTCTTTTGGTGATTTTGCTCGGAAACAAGTTGTATGCACTGGAAATAATGTTTATAGTTTCTTCTTTCATGAAAGAGAATCTGTTTTTGTTGCTTTAATGCAACAAATAAAGCGCAAAGGATGTTTTTGAGACTAGTAAATACAAACTTCCCAGTGTGTAAGCACTGGATAAGAAACAAGCATAGCCGCTGGCTCTGGGCTGATCATTTAAATAAATTTAAGCCAATTCAGCTTTAAAATTGTCCATTTAATACAAATTATCATCCTCTTTCACGTGTAATGTGATTATTTTCAGATGATCATTCTCGTTGTGTTGTCATCTAATTCACGGTTAGTTCAAAAGTCTAAACAGTTGGAAAAACTGCATTTAATTGCAGGCTATTGAACCTGAACATCACACATTATTTCACTACACTTATACATACTTTTAGCATCAAATGGTAAGATTTAAACCCCACTTTTGCATCAGTGGTGATGAATTTGAAACTGAAAAGCAGTCAGTACAGTGGACAAACGTGAAATGCTTAACATTACTTTTCCATAATAGCTGTGATAATAATAATACTCCACTTATATAGATCTATTTAGAAGTTTATCGTGATCAATCAGGTCATGATACGGTTTTCTGAGCATATTATGAATATCGTCAGTAATTAAAGAACACTGACCAAATACATGGTCCATTACAAAGTGAGCCTCAGTAAACTTAGTAATGCACTGAGTGTGAATCACTGTAGTTGTAAATATATTATTATTGTTATTATTATTATTATTATTATTGTATTTTTATTTGTGGCACTACAGGTTCTATTTCGTCTGTTCCACCTTATTAAATCTCAGAAAATCTAAATATTGTGATGCATGTTGTGTATCGTGAAATGTCTTGTAGTATTATAATATCTTTTTTGTGATATCACCGACCCGTATCGTTTTATAGTTATCATTATATGGTTATCACTGTTGAAGTTCTGAATCTCAGTTGGTGGAAGAAGCTAGAAATTCAGCGAATTATCTGTTTAGCGTTTGCTCTCCCAAGTCCTGCGTTCTGTATCACAGTTTTAAATCCTGTATCACTGTTTCTCAGGACTGGCGAGGCTGTAAGAAGTACATAAACCTCTCCAGAAGTGGACGACAAACTTTGAACTCTGCCTCTTTTACCGGCCCCAGTATTTCAATCCCGTTAAACTTTAATTATCCACTGCAGGACAATCTTAAGGCAGGCACAAAACACAGGACTGGAAAGTGTCAAATATAAGCATGTATGTTGGTTAAACGATTAAAGTAAGTGAATAAAAAGAGAGTAAAAGTGGTCCACAAACTCCCCGCACATCAGATTCTCTGTTTCTATATCTGTGTCTGTATCTTTGTGATGATCCAGCTCAGAAATCCAGTTCAAACACTTCCTGAATCTGTAGAGACTCCCTTTCCATACCATCTTATCCCAAGATCATCCGGAGTTATGAGCCTATGAAGAGGGGCTGAGATACACGTCATCTGCCTCTCACCGTGTGGAACTGGTGGATTGGTGTGTCCGTCTACATTCTGTGTGAAACTGACCAATGGACACTCAGGAGATCACTAAGGACTGACCATCACGCCGGAAACCCTTCATTCTTCATTCAGTCCACATCGGAGACTCATGTGAAACAGCGAGCAGAGAGTTTACAGCTGCTGAAGCTGCTGCAGCGGGTTTGGAAAGTAGTGATGAAGATAACGGAGCATTTAGATATGAAACATATGAGGATCATGATATATGAAGAGCCTTTAAAGGAGGATTTAAGAAGAGATGAACCACAGAATGACCAGAGGGTGAGGAATAAGTCAGTCCTGTCCAGTTTTTTTCCTTTCTACATGATGACACAACGCTGAGTGTGTTTCAGCTTCCTGACTTCCCCCGAATTTCTGCATTACTGAGCATTTTGTACACATGGGCCCGTGGACTCGCCCGTAATTGCACTTTTACTGCATAATGCGGTTCTTATTGATCCATGCTGAGAGATGGGAAGTTAAGTCATGTGACCACCTACTGGGATCTTTATTTACCTGCCTTGCCAGTGTTTCCTGTAGACCTACACAGGATTTGCCTCATGTCAGAGAGGAGAGAATGACAACAAAATGAAAGCAAACCAGACAAAATAAGCAAAATGATAATTAGGATGAGTTCTAGCTTATCATTAATCCCAGTCAGATCCCTCCACATCTAAATGAAACCGGAGATTCAGCTTCCATTCATTTAACTATTATGGATACAGCTGTCTAGAAAGCCTTCACTCTCCCTCACCCCTCGTTTTTACTCAGATTGTGCTTAAAAGAGCTGAGATTCGTCGCTTTTAATGAGACTCGCTTTCTATTAGGGGAAAAAGAGGAAACTCACAGTAAACAGAAAGCTGTCAGCGCCCACTGTGAAGTGAAACCGTAATAATAGTTGTATTGGTTATATTGGTTTTTGACTTCTTTTCAAGTTTACTTGGACATATGAATAGAATTATGAAATATGCAGTATGTGAAAATGCCGGATAGGAGCTGCACGATAAATCATATTTTTATTGTTGGGATTTGAGTTTCTGTGATAAACACCTCATGATAAGTTGTGATGGCAGTACAGATCAGGTTACCTCATAAGCCCAAGGGACGTAATTATGCTGACTGTTTGTCTTAATGGCTGATTATTAAAAAAACTACTTAATCCTGACTTAATAGCCTGTAAAAACACACCAAACATTAGGGTTGTTCTCACACCCAGTGTTGTGTCTTCAGTGTGTGAGGCAGTAATGGCTACTGTCACAGCAAACATACCTGACCTTTTCTAGATGTACCTGTAACAGCGCGCTGCCGTTGTTTACTTTCGTTTTTAAGCGTCATTTTTATGCATTAAGTCGTCCAGCGGTATGTTGATGCAGTATGATGTTAGAAAGCTTGAAATCTAAGGATTTTTTATGGTCCGTCATTCACAGCAGTTATGATCGTCTCATTTGCAGCATAAGCAGTAAGTAACCCTGTGTTCACAGTGGCAGCGAGGCGGCACGTCAAGACGGCTGGAGGCCATTAATTTTCAGTGAGAGCTGGCGATTTCGGGCGACAGGCGGCAGCGTTGGGCGGAGTCAGAGATGTGGGCGGAGTCAGCGACGTGACAAAGTTGAGCAGGGTTTAACTTTATGCAAATAAGGAGCGAAGCGATGTGGCGGTTACCAGTTGGAATTGAGCAACGAGCAGCATAGTACGCGCTTTATCTCCGCCACTGTGAAACGACGCGCTCCTTTATTGTTCCTCTT